TATTGCAACACCTGCTCAGGAGCCTTGACCCAGGGTGCAGGGTCGGTGTCCCTCTCCTCCTCCTTCTGAGGCCCCGGTTCAGGGAAAGAGTGAGTCCTTTTAGTCGTAGGCCCAGGCCTTCTGGTCTACTGCCCTATGCTCCTCAACATTGATCTTCCCAGTGTTGATCACCCCAGAAATGGTATTTATTGGAAAATAGGGCAGCTGCCTCAGGAGAAAAATCCAACCACTGAGCTGGCCTCTTCCTCTCTTTTCTCCTCAGGAGGACCCAAGACCGTCTGTGTTCACATTGACCCCACACAATACGACAGAGCTGGACATAAAGCTCAGAGACAACCACTGTCCAGGTTAAAGGAGCTCTAATACACACAAAGGTTTCAGAGAAAATCACATGAAAATCATAAAAACAAGTGGAGAAGGTTAGCTAAGAAAGGAAAAAGAGGGAAAAATTTCCCTAAATGTGGAAAAATGAAATACTAATAATATTTGACTGCTTTCCCAGGTTTCTATTTCCAAATGGTCACCAAAGCACATAACAATGAAATTTGGGGACAAAATGAAATGTTTGTCAGCATGGGGAAGTTAAATTAGAAAAATGGTAATAGCAATGATAATGTCTAACCATTACTGAAAATTTATTATATGTTAGAATCCATACTAGGTACTTTTAGTTACTTAATCTGCATAAAGTTTGAGATGGGTATTATTATTGCATCTATTTTCAGATGAGGAATTTGAGGCACAAAGAGATTAGGAAATTTGCTCAGGGCCAGGCAGCTTCTAAGTGATGGACATGAACAGAGAGTAGCGGCAGACGTTGAAAAATGCTTCAATGACATGGGAATCGACTCAGAATGTAGTATGAACTGAACGAAGAAGAATACAGACCCTAAACATATTCCACATGTAACTTATAAGTATATTCACAGTCCACAAAATCATATTAATATCCATATATATGCAAAAAGGTATCTAGAAATTAACACACCATAATGAGAATAGTTGTTGGTCTTGGTGACATGACTGTGGGCGTTTTTATTTTCATCTTTACCCTGTTTCTCTGAGCCTCCACAATGAGTACCTTTACCAGCATGTCCACTTATAACCTGTGTGACTTACGTTGAGTCAGGTCATTCCTCTGTACCTCATTTTTCTGATCCATAAAATGAAAACTACAAACATCCGTATCATGTGATTGCCGTGAAGATTAAAAAAGTGAAGAACATTTAGAAAACAAAGCCTAACAAATAGAAAATGCTCATTAAATATTTGCTATTATAAAAGTTAATATTTATTAAACATGAAATGTTTTAAAATACTATGCTGAGAAACAGTGGTCATAAAATAGCTCCCAGGCAAGTAGAAACCATTCCCATTTCCACAGACATCAAGGCGCCTGCATGGCCCCCTCACATGCACGCTCAAGAGCCCTGAGGAGACCACCAGCCTTATCCCGAGATCTGCAGGGCATGAGGCCCACAGAAAACAGGAAACTCAGGCCTGCAGCCAGCACTACAGGCCAAGGTCCCACCTGCCCCACCACTTCTTCCCTGTCCCCGGTTCAGGCCACGCCCCCTGCCACTGACCTGAGGCATCCAGTCACCAGGTCCCCATTCTCCTGCCTTCTTGAGGACACAGCCTGGCAGACAGGATGTCACTGCTGGAAGCATTCACCTTCCTGTCCTTCTGGGCTGGTGAGTCACACTCCCTGACCATTTCAGTCTGGATGAGTGAGCAAAGAAATTCCTTAATGTTTCTTATATTGTCAGACGTTCATTGGAAATTCTCTTCTTTTACTTACAGTTGGACTTGGGTTATCAAAAGTGGAGCAGTCCCAGATATCCATTTCCACAGAAGTAGAGAAAAGTATTGACATACATTGCAAGGTAACGAGCTCAGATTTTGAGGGGGAATACATTAACTGGTACTGGCAGAAACCGAGTAAGGCTTTGGAGCATCTGATTTATGTGAGCTAGACAGGAACCCCACCTCGAGATGACCTAGGTGGGAAGAAAAATAAACTTGAGGCAAGAAAGGATTCTCAAACATCCACTTCAATCTTCACTATAAAGTTCATAGAAAAAGAAGATGAGGCCACTTACTACTGTGCTGGCTGGCACCACAGTGCTAGAACTGTTGAGACAACTCACACAAGATCCCCTCCTTGGGTCTGTGCCCACACACATCCTTCCCAACAGTGGCAACCACAGCCAGGCCCCAGCTGGGCTCCTGGCCTCAGCCTCTCCTTCTCTGCAGCACTTCCGGAGCTTTCCAGGAAGCCATTTTGGATTTGCTTGCACATTACCTTCCAGCTGACCGCAGGAATTGTGCTTCCAAAGCTTTATTTGACACTATTTCCCAACGAGTTGAAGTCCTGTCTGGGGACTGAGAGCACAATGGCTGTGCCACTGTGCATCATCTCACCGTCCAGAGAGTCTCAGCAAGCAGGCGAGGTTCAGACTGAGAGGAAATCGGCATGAGCTGTTATTATTATATATACTCAAGACAAGCCCTCTGCAATATAACCATTATTGGTCCATTTTACAACCAAAGAAATTAAAGTTTAGAGAATTTAGGTTTAATGATCCTTCAAAGACAAGAAGTCCATGCTTTTTGAACTGGACTGTGAGACCACAACGAAAAGTGTAAGGATTGCAGTTCTTTAAGTGAATAGGGTATCTGAGGTAAATTGGGGATGGAGTAATGCTGTTTTTCGGGAAGGTGTGGGGAGGATTCTGCCCATATGATGTCATGAGAACAGAGCTCCAAATTCATTGTGACCATTAGATGGACCCACTATATTGGGTAACACTTCATTTGCCTGTGAAAGAAGAGAAAGAATCTGCCAAGACCAGAAGAGCTAACATCGTGTGTGTGTGTGTGTGTGTGTGTGTGTGTGTGTGTAAGTCCTCTATCAGTGTTCTCAATTCTTTGACTATATCAGCTCCTTTAACCCACAGTATCTACAAGATCTGTTCTGTTATCATCAAGCATATTTGATTCAGGAGGTAAGTGAAGTACCAAGAGGTTCAGTCACTTGTCAAGTCACACAGCTGGTACGTGGCCAGTAGGCAGAGCAGAGTAGGGACCCAGATGGTCAGGTTCTTCTTGCCTCTTACACTAACCACTTCTTAATTGCAGGACAATAAAGGAAACAATACATTGTTCCCATCCCCATAGACGAGACACAACTAACCACTACGGAACATTAACTGACACAAATTTTTATTATGTGCTGAAGCACATGCCCAGTATTTGAGTGATTCAGTGTCTTCACAGAATAAGTAAAATGCCAATAAATTGTCAATCAACTTTTCAATATAAAACAATAAAAAGATCCTTATTTTCTATTTCTAACAGTGGTATCTGCAGTGGGCTTCCGGTATAATATAGATATCTCCTTGCAAGTTTCTTATAGGTACTAAAAAGTCTCCAAATAACGTCAACATATTCATTCTCTCTAGCCCTTATTTCAAGGATCCACAGTCTATTGTTCACATTTGAGATGTAATGGAAGGAAAAAGGAGGCATTTGCAGGCCAGGCCGACAAGAGAGATGGAATTAGACACGTGATCCTTCAGCCCTTCTTCTCCCACCTCTGGTGGCTCATATTTCTTTGATTTACATCCTGACCTACACTGTTTATAACCATGATGGTTTCCTAATGGGGGGACCATTGCCTTATTGAGCCTAAACAGAACCTTCCTAGTCCCCTATGTTTTTTATGTAAGCAAATTAGAGACCATAACCTGAGTGGAACACACCAATGTGAGAAGATTATTCCAGGAGGAATGCATGGAAAGTGTGGATTAAGCTTCTCAAATATCTTTGCTGAATTATTTGCATGGGTTTTCTCACGTACTATACAGAAGAGCAGTGGACCTTAGTGATACAGCGTCTTCAGAGGAACAGACCTCAGGAGATAAAAGTGATGTCAGCTTTTCCATATGATCCCTAAAAAAATAGTGACAAATTCAATGATGAACAAAGAGAAAGAAGCAAATAATTCATGCTGCAAATGATAGAATATTATGAAGCCATTAAAACTGGCATATATGAAGATTTATTAATAAAAGTGAAAATGTTTGCATTCAAATATCAAAAAATCACATTAAGTACGAATGAATATACATTAAATCTCAAATATGTAAATGTCTATGCTGATGGAAGAAACAAAATGAAAGGAAATATTTGAGTTTTAAGGTAGGTTTTTTTCCTGATAGGGTGGATAGGTTATGTTCTTGTTCTGCTCCAGAAAGGAGGATTATAGATCATTCCACTCTGTGCAATCGTGTTACAGCTGAAGCAGCACAGTTCCTTTTGCACAGGTTTCAGATCCCCCTGGGGGGCATTGGATGCTCCCACAAGAAGGTGGATACTCCTATCAGGATCCTTTCCCTGGGATTCAGCTGTGACCCTGCTGAAGATCACAGTGGCCATTTATTCAGAGCTGCTGTTCCTTCTCAGTCACTGTTCTAAATCCTTCAGGTATAATTCATCTCATGCTTGTGACAATCCGTTGACATTGGTGCTATCACGATTCCGTTTTACAGGTGAGGAAACAGGGGTATAGAAATGTTATTCTTTGTGGTCATGGAGTTACTGAATAGGGGTAGAGGGCTGGGTTTTCCAGCTTCAGTGTCTTTCCTCATAACCACTGTGCTATCCTACCTCTGAAACACAGGCTGTGGAAATGGCATCTAATCTGTGGTTCCTACAGCTAAAGATAAAACAAACACTTATTCAAAAATAATTATTGAAACAAATAGATTACTATTCTATGCTGTCTGAATTTAACGTTGTCTTCCTAGAATAAACATAAATACCATAGCTGATTGGACTTTCAGAATATAAAACAATAACATAAGATAAAAAAATATAAACACAATAATATAAAACAAAAACGATAACATATTTTCTTATGTTTTTGAGATAATAGAAATAAATGAAAAAAGCAACCTTTTCCTTTAGACTTTTCTAATATGACATCTGCCTCTGACATTCTTGGAACACAGCCATGCTTATTCATGTATGTACTGTCTATGACTGCCTTTGAGCTACAATAACAGAGGTGAGTAATCACAACAGAGATCTTGTGGCCCACAAAGTCAAAAATATTTGTTATTTGACCCTCTACAGAAAAATTTGCCAGTCTCTGCTGTGCAATGTGGAGTTAGGGAATGAGTTTATAACTTTAACTAAAGTTCAAGATGCAATAAGAAAAAATATTGATAAATTTTACTACATGAAAATGAAAACAAAACTTGCATGGCAAAAGCAACGTAAGTTAAATCAAAGGATGAATGAGAAACCATTAGAAAATATCTGCAACCTGTTTAACAGATAAAGGCCTACTATCCCTAACCAAATATACATTTTAAAAAACGAGGAAAAACACTTAAAATATCCTATAGGGAAATGGCAAAAGACAGGAAAAGCCAATTCATGAAGAGAGATATAAAAATAGCTCTTAAATATATTAAAAGATGCTCAATTTCACTTACCATAAGATAAATGCAAATTAAAACTACAAGATACCATTTTTCACCCATGAGATTGGCAAGAATTTACAAGTTTGCCAATACACTGTTGGTGAAACTGTGGGGGAAAATAGGTTCTCTTAAAAATTGCTGGTAAGAATGCAAAATACATTTTTATAGGGGAATTTGGAAATATCTTAAAAAATTCATACACATTTACGTTTCAACCTAGCAAAATCACTTTTAGAAATTTTGCCTGAAGACACAACTTTCAACAATATGAAAATACACATGCATAGTTAATCATTGTGTAACTGCAAAATATTGGAAATTACGTAAATATCCAAACATAGGAGATTGTTTGAATAAATTATGGCAAATGAACAAATTGGAGTACTATACAGCTGGAAAATAGAATGAGAGATGCAAAATCAATTGTAATGTTACATACTGGCAAATCACAATTGTAAATCGAAGGTTAAAAAATACTACCATATACAATAGCAACAATAACAATATCAAAAAAGCCTATATAATATTTAGAGATAAACTTAACCAAAAATGTGAAGGATTTGTATGCTGAAAACTACAAAACTGAAGGCAGAAGTCAAAGAAGAATTACATAAATGGAGAGATATACCACATCCATAGATTGGAAGAGTCAATATATTTAAGATGTCAAACTTTCCCCAAATTGATAAATAGATTCAATGTAATCACAAATAAAATCACAGAAGGACTTTTTCTAGAAATTAATAAGCTGGTTGTAAAATTTATATGAGAAGGCAAAGGACATAGAATAGCCAAAACAGTTTTGAAAAGATTTGGAAGACTTATTATTAAGCTACAATGATCAAGACAGTGAGTACTGGTGAAAAGATTGGTACATAAATAAGAGAAACAGAATAGAGAATCCTGAAATAGACCCATGCATAAATGGTTAATTTTTAACAAAGGTACCAGGGAAATCCAATGGATGAAGGATAGATTTTTCAACAAATGATATTGGAACAATTGTTCATCTATGTGGAAAAACTGTAAACCTCAATCCATACCAAACACCATGTACCAAAATTAACTCAAAATGGATTATAGGCCTCAATGTAAAACCTAAAACAAGAAACCTTCCAGATGGAAATACAGGAAAAAATCTCTATTGCCTTGAATTAATCAAAGATTTCTTAGATAGGAAACAAAAAGCAAGAATCATAAAAGAAACATTTGATAAATTGCAATTCCTCAAAATTAACATTTCCACTCTTTTCAAGACTGATAATAAAAGCCACAGATTAGGAGAAAATATTTTCAAAACACATATCAGAGAAAAGACCAGTGTCTAGAATATATAAAGAACTCTGACAACTCAATAATAAGCAAAGTAACTCTTTAAAAAATGGGAAAAAGGACCAACAAGTGCTCAGAAATGTAGAGAGATGGAAATGGCATTGCTTCTTTCTTACAACAACATCATAAAAAGTTGGATAAACCGAAAATTAATGATTTTGCTTGAACCCATCAGAGAACTGAGGTTGCGGGACAAGTGACTTACTCAAAATCTGGAGACAAACAGGTACTTGCAGGGAGAAATGGGAGCTGAGCATTTGGTTACCTTGGACAGATGTCATCAAACATGTCAAGCTGGTCAGAAAATTAACCTAGAAATTTTTAATGAAATAGGAGCTGAGTATAGACTAGTAAGAGAGGGTGAACCCTTGCAGACCACAAATATAGGGCATTTCCCACCACCTTTTAAGCTTCTTCTCTAAAACTCCACATGATTCTTGCAGGGAAGATCAGGGAGAGTCCATAGAAAGCTTCCTCTTTGGTGCTGGCTGCAGGAGGGTAACAGCAGCCACTGCCAGAATCCACCCAAACCTAATCCATACCATCTCCACTGTAGGAAAAAAAAACAACTTAATCCACAACTGAAGGCGCTGGTGAAATCCCACTGCAGTTAGGGGAGGGGAAAGGAGGCTACCACCAAAACTTTGCCCTGAACCATCTCTCTTATCTCCACAAAGTAACAAGTTTTCATCTGCAGAGGGATGGGCATCAAAACCATACCCTGAAGTAAGTGGATACCTACTGCATCTAGGGGAGGGGAAAGAGCATTAAACATGTCCTACCTCTGGAAGAGGGGCAGGAACACTTGCAAAGTCCACATGTTCAAGACCCAATTTCACTTACCTGTTTACAATGGAGTCTAAATCAAAATACCAGAGAATGTCTCCTTTCCCCACCTCGGACCACCATGCTACCAAACCTTGAGGAAAAATAACAGTGGCTACAGAAAAATAATTGCTAAGAAAGCTGCAAGAGACAGACTTTCTATGGGGAGACTAACAAAGGGAAGACTCAAAGCCAAATGAGAAGACAAAACAAAGTATGACTAGAGAAACTTTAAGCCTCCGGACCCTAAAAACAAACTCCAACCCTGATAACTTTGCAACAACAAACTTCAAACCCAGTCTGACTCCTGACTAGATTAACAGAAACTCCCACACTAAAGACCTAGCAGAAGGAAAGGTGTGCTCATTTTCAAGCATAAAATATATTTACCTCGGTATCTATCGTACTATAAAATATGTCTAGCTTTCAACCAAAAGCTTCAGAGACATACAAAAAGGCAAGAGGAAGACATAAAGCAACCATCAGAACCAGACTGAGGCATGACACAGACGTTGGAACAATCAGGGAATTTAAACTATGATTAATATGTTAAAAGCTCTAATGGAAAAGGTAGACAACATGTAAGATCAGACAGGTAATTTCAGCAGAGAGATGGAAATTATGAGAAAGAATCAAAAGGAAATGCAAGAAATAAAATACACAGTAACAGAAATCAAGAATGCCTTTGAAAGGCTCACCAGTAGACTCAATAGAAATAAGGAAAGAATTAGCTAACACGAAGCTAGGCCACTAGAAATTACCCAAACTGCAGTGCAAGGAGATGATAGAGATAAAGAGAGAGAGTAAGAGAGAGAGAGAAAGGGAGCAGAATATCGTAAATCACAGAACTGTGGACAATATCTAATTTTCAAGAGAAGAAGAAATATTTGAAGAAATAATGGCTAAAAATCTTCCAGAATTAGTAATGGATACCAAAAGCAGAGATAAAGAGAAAATCGTGAAGGCAGCCAGAGGGGAAACAATAGTGGACTTCCATCAGAAACAGTGTAAGCAGGAAGACATTGGAGTGACATCTTTAAAGTATTGAAAGAAAAAAAAACTGACAACCCAGCAAAAATGTCCTTCAAAAGTAAAGGATAAATAAAGAATTTGTCAGAAAAAACAAAAATTGAGGTAATTCATTGCCAGCAGAATTCCTCTGTAAGAAAAGTTAAAAGAAGTTACTCAGGCAGGAAAAATATGGTATAAATAAAAAACTTGAATCTATACAAAGAAATGATAAGCACTGGAAATGGAATAAATGAAGGTAAAATATAATCTTTTAAGTCTTATTTTTAATTGCTCTAAAACAGGAGTTGGCAACCTTTTTCTGTAAAGGACCAGAGAGTAAATATTTTCAGTTTTGCGGGCCGTGTTCTCTGTCCCAACTACTTGGCTTTGCCATTGCAGCACAAAAGTCATTGCTACTGTTAGACCTGGAGGGACAGGAAACCGTCATGACAACTGGGAGGGCATCTGTATTGAGGGGCCACCTGATAGGAGCTGTGGCCTTTAGTCAAGGGACACAACCAACTTGTCCTAGTCTGCGTTCTCCAGAAGGTGCGCCTCGGGATTTGAGTATCGTGGTTTATTTGGGAGGTATAGGCAGACCAGCAGGGCAGTAAGGAAATGAAACAGGGAAGGGACAGCAGGAGATAAGGGGTGCTTTAGTGACCAGCTGCTGAGTGAGCAACTGGAGAGTAATAGCGTTCAAAAACAGAGTGATAAATGAAGTAATGCATTTCTTGTTCTGCTCGTATGTTTTGTGGGACTGGCCATGTAAAATTAATAAAATCAATGGAACGCTAAGTGGTCTGATAGTCAACGTGGAGGTGAACCAGGGAATCTTGCTAAGAGGTTGGAAGGAAGTCATTACAGAGTAGAAAAATGTTCATGGTATCATAGGAAGTAATAAAGACAGAGCATAAAATTGAATATATAATATTAGTATATCTATGTGAAACAAATTTTAAAAAGAGACAGAAATTAATGCATAAGGGAATATACCAAACTGTTAACAGTAGTTGTATCCAGGTGATAGGACAAAAAGAAATTGTTTTCTCTTCTGCTTGTGTTTCTTTATGATCCATACTGAGTATGTATTCATTTTATAATAGGAAATAACAATGGTTTTTGTTTTTCAGGTATATTAAGTTACTCCACGGGCACAGCATCTCTGTAGTTTCCATTTAATGGTAACATTCAAAAATAAGAGAATCTGAAATGCTTCCTTTGCCTGGGTTATTTAAAGCATAAAGCTGGGTCATACATAAGTAAGCTCTCCCTATGTCCACAATTGCCTGATGAAGTGTAGTGATGTGCAACGATGTTAGAATAGAACGGTTACCCAAGAGGCTCCTCAAATACAGACTAGATTCTCTCTCTCTGACTCCATCTCTCTCTCTCTCCCTATCTCTATCTCCCTCTCT